AACATATCCTGGCATAGCTGTAGAATAACGTTTGCTGGTGTTTTGATATAATATTATCCCTTTTCTATATCCACTCACTCATCACTGTATAGCATATCACAAACACTGTATGTGCACTGCAGACCTTAGGCTGGGTTCACACCTAGGCGTATTGAATATGCGCGTTTGTCGCGTGTTTCGCGTTGCGCGTTTTTACAGCGATTTGCGGTAAAAAAAAACCTGCGCGACAAACGCGCGTTTCTGAGGGCTACTTTGCTGCATCCCAATGGAAACGCCCGACCAAAACGCCCCAAAGAAGTACATGTACTTCTGTGGGCGTAGGGCGGTTTCCCGCGCGTTCGTACTCGCGGAAAAACGCCCAAATGGGAACCGGGCCTTAGAGAAACGTGCAGGCCTAAAAGTCCTTATAAACATGAGTTAATAACAGCTTCTGTAGTACCAAATTAGTAAATACTCCAGAAGTATTTCTACAGTACAGCCTATTAATACTGGCTTGCATGAGAACCAGCATCTGATCTGTGGCTATGCATATACTTTAGCTGAAAACACTTGCGTACATGCATTTTCTTTCCGTGTCTCTGAATCAAGCACATTTCAAGCATCCTAAATCAGCACAATGGGAAATGCACTTGTTTCATCTGGTTACTTCTACTAAACGTTAGAATATATACTTAAGGAGTCCTATTAATGCGAACCACATACATCACCAACTTGTTTAAAATCCACTATGCTCTGGATTAATCAGCTATCTTTTTAGTGAGTATTAAAAATGTCCTTCAGTGAAAGCATGGATGACAGGAGTGGTGAGCAGGTCTGTTTTAATAGTTGAGCTAAATTTCTTGGTTAGCTTTCACTTTAGCTTGAATGTTATGCTCCTCCCTCAGCAGTCCGAACAGATGTAATCAGACATGTACTTCCTACATTTTCACAGGACAGCTAACATGTAGTGTATAGCTGGCCTCTCTGTAGATCTTTTGGTAGCAAAACAGGGGGCATATAAGTAGGAGAAGCTGCAAATTGCTTTGTAAATAAGTCGCATTTTTCATTTTGGATAGTTTCCTAATGCACATTGCACCTACTTTGACAATTCTCCACTGCAATCTTTCTTTCTCTGCAGTTATGTAAGAAACACTAATAGACATTAACCTGTGAATAAAAACACAAACTAATTGGAATCACACACAACGCTCCATGCTTCAGATTTTCCATTGTTTCCTTCATAGTGCATCACTTTGTCACTACTTTCTTTCGTCTGCTTGCCTAGTACTCAACCATACTACCTGACTTATTTTTCTGCATTTGCCCCACCATGCCTACCCTAGGTCTGATTTGCAGTTTTTATTTGCATACCCATGTTTGTCTATAATAGCATTTTCAAGATATGTAATCAATAACTTTAACAAATAATAATATAATGTATCCTTGACATTTGTTTAGGTATTCTGTTGTCCCTTCTGTGCTTATGTTAGCCCTTCTGAAGAAAAAGTTCACAGCCATGCTGTCTCACAGCATGCACTGCAGCCAACTTTTCGTTGCCCATTGTGTCAAGAACAGCTGATAGGAACCAGTAACCTAAAGACACATCTGGGACATGGACATAATGTGGTGTCAGAATGTGTGGAAAAACTTCTGCAGGTGGTGAGTTAAAAACACCTTGATTCATTAAATGCAAAAATACCTTAAAAAAATTAAGAACTGAAACATCCAGTTGAAGCCCAAATTATTTATTTCCTTTGTATTAGGGTTGCACCAATACCAATACTAGTATCCTAGTTTACTAGTATCGGTAACGGTGCCGATACTGAGTATTTGGGCTAGTACTCAAACTCACCCAAATGCTCCGGTACTTACCCCCGTACCGGAACCTCCGTTCAGAGGGAGATTACTTCTGACCGGCAGTGCCACGATGGAACATGGAGCCGGCTTCCCGGGCAATCAGGAAGCCCGGGCGGCGAGTCATTACCCATGCTGTGTGGCCAGCTCAATGCTGATTGGTCGGGAAGCCAGCTTCCCAGCCAATCAGCATGGAGCCAGCTAAACAGCATGGAGCCGGCTTCCCAGGCAGTCAAGAAGTCGGGCGGCAGGTAATGAGACGTCGCCCGACTTTCTGATTGGACAGGAAGCCGGCTCCATTCTAGTGGAAGTACTGGTATCTGTACTCAGCGAGTACAGAAAGATAAATATCGGTATTCATACTCCATACCGAAAAATCGGTATCAGTGCATCCCTACTTTGTGTTGTTATGATGATGACCATCTCTATTATGATTATTCTTACACAGAGTAATTGAATTGAAATGTGTATTTTGCAACACCCAATTATTTATTAAGTAAAACTTTTTTCTTCTTTTGTCTGCATGCACATGATTTCGGTTTTTATTTTACAAATGCATTACACAAGTCCCAACAATCTGTCCTGAACTCTAGCACACAAACACACACCGGGGTGAACTTGATCAGAACTGAGCCATGCTTTGTTTCAGCCTGCGAACATGGAGTAGGGATCTCTGTTAATGTGCTTTCTCAAGATAGTGACATAAATATACCGTATATGGGTGGTTGATTTACTTGTAGACAGGGGCAGACCTACAGCCGGTGTGGCCGCCCGGGGCCTGAGCCCAAAGGGGGGCCCAGTATCCAATGTAACACAGTCCCGGCGCAGAGATGAGAGAGCCCACTGGCCTTCGGATACTGAGGAAGGTGCCAAGAATAAAAAAAGCCGGCAGGCACTTCAGGGGGCAGCCCTGGGCCTCGGCCGTGAGGACCTAGCAAACAGCCGCCTGAGTACATGGGCTCGCTGTTTGAGATGGACGACACACACACACTGGGGTGGTTTTCTGCAGCCCCCCCTACCAGAAAACAGCCAGAAGAGGTGAAGGTAAGTTATTAACCACCTGCTGTCCGGCCGTTTAATGTAAACAGCCAGAGATGGCTGTAGAGACGCCCGATCGCTTGTAATATGCGTGCAGGTGTGCGGCTCCCCCTCAGTTGCAGTCGCTGCTGGCGATCCCGAGCTCCACTGTGCCCGGTGTGAGCCCGGGACCAGCACAGCAGCTCTGCGGCCGGAGATCAAATGGAGCTCAGTACACGATCTCCGTTTGATCTCCTCCTCCTCCTCTTCGGAATGCAGGAAGTGATGTGTATTACATAACTTCCGCATTCCTCTGTCACTCTCCGGTACAGAAACCGGAGAGAAGCTGGTGAAGCAGGTGTTTGCTTCATCAGCTTCTCTGGTGGTCCCTAGGTGACATTAGGGGTCTTAGAGACCTCTGATGTCTCCATAAAGAGGACCTGTCACTAAAACTTGGCTATCACAAAGGGGACTTGTTAGTCCCCTATGTGATAGCAATAAAGTTAAGTGAAAAAAAAGGTTTAAAAGAATTAGTTAAAAAAATTACAAAATTAAAAGTCACATATAAAGGTAATTTAAAAAAATGTAAGTCCCCGCGCCCCACATACACATGCAAACATGCGTCGAGTGCGCCTACGTGCAGAAACGACGATTGCATCCATTACGCCGCACATGTTACATATCACCGCGAACGTCGCAGTGAGAGCAATAATTCTAGGGCCATCAATCACTGATTACACTAAACTAATGAGCGGTAAAAGCTTTTAAAGCGTCGCCTATGGCCAATTTTGGGTATGGTAGTTTTTGCGAGTTCGCGGGCGCACGCAATTTTAAAGCTTGACATGTTTGGTGTCTATTTACCCGACGTGACCCCGTCTTTTATATTTTGCCAAGAATTTGGGTAATAATAATTGTTTTATAACAATATAACGTAGGGGAAACAGTTTTTCCCCCCGAAATTTTCTGTACTTTTTTCATTATATAGTAAAAAATAAACCCCAGTGGTGAATAAATAGCACCAAAAGAAAGCTCTATCTGTCCCCAAAAAATGGTATAAAATTAATTCCAGTGCAGCGTTGCATGACGGAATAAATGTCAGTCAAAGTACCACAGCGCTGAATACTGTAAAATGGCCTGGACAGGAAGAGGGTGTAAACACCCCGGTCAGCAAGTGGTTAAATAAAATAATAATTTTTTGTAGCCCAACTAATGGACATGCTGTATAAAGTACTGCTGGTATTTGTAGTGCTATATAGCAGGTCCCATTTTGTGGTTGCTACAGGGGATGTAGGTTGGGGGGTTTGTGTTTTTTTTTTTGGGGGTGGGGGAATGCAGAGGGCCCGAAAAAAAATCTTGCACCAGGGCCCTTTGTTCCCTAGGTCCGCCACTGCTTGTAGATAAAGATTTAGTGAAAATGTTTCTTCAATTTACGTACACACTATATACCTGCAGAATTTTATACAAATGTTCATACAAAAAAGGAGCAAAATCGTTGTTCAGAGCATTCTATGGTACCTTCATGGACTCGACTAATTTTGTATGATATTGCGCCTGATTGCCATGCCAATGTGTCAAATTCTAACTGTCAATTTCAGGATGCATGGAAGTGATGCATTGTTATTTTCCAAGCACATGCGCATCACAATAATTCACATTCATTCACATTCAGAAATTAGATTGAGAATTTTCATCTTTCTCGTTTGATTTTTGGCTCACTATGGTCGAATTCAATCGTCCATTTGTGCCCATTAACTTTGCAAAAATTTAATGAACTTTCCGAAAATGAATGTTTTCAAAGGAAATTCTGCAGATGTATGGTCAGTTTTACAGGTAGGCAGGTCACATGATTTTGTAAATTTTTAAAAAATAAACCTTATTTACCGTCTGTCTTGTTTGCTTCAGGCACAAAAAGTGCAAATAACATTCAGGACCAGGATTATTCCAGTGAAAATCATAGAAGAACCAGAACAACCTTCCTCTGAAATCCCACCTTCCAGTGAGTATTTATGCTGTCCTCTGTCTTACTTTTGGTTGTGATAATGTTTTCTTTCTATTATGTTTTTGACACTATTGTTTTGACTGTGATATTTTGCTGCTGATTGCAAGGGTTCTTTATCCTTTTTTTTATTTTATTTTTTTTATTTATTATAGGTGAAGCCACAGATGCATCCCCTCCGGGATCTCCTGGTGAAATTTCCACAAGCCCCACTGAAGCTATTGATTTTGTTGCTGATACTGAGAAGGTATCAGAGGAGACTGCATGTCCCTTGTGCCCTGTGACCCCTGAAAATTCTCAAGAACTAAGGACCCACTTGGAGAAGGATCATCCAGAGCTTAGTCAGTCTGATATTCAGCAAGCATGTGAAGCACGTAGTCGAGAAGTTGAAGGTACAGAGCAAGAGGATAGAAAGGGGTCTCAGGAAAGTACACCCGCTCATACTCAACATTCTACATATCGAAAAACCACCAACTTTGCCATGGACAAATTTATGGATCCTTCTAGGCCTCACAAATGTGTGGTATGCAAAGAATCCTTTACACAGAAAAACATCCTACTTGTACATTATAATTCAGTATCACACTTGCACAAGGTGCGTAAAGCCTCTCTTGATCCTTCACTTTCTAACCGTCATGAATCTGGTGTGGGCCCTACAGGACATGGAGTACAAACAGGACAAGATAAACCCTACAAATGCACAGTATGCCATGTTTCATACAACCAAAGCTCTACTCTAGAAATTCACATGCGTTCTGTACTTCATCAAACCAGATCACGGAGCTTGAAGCAGGATACTACCAAGATTCCTTCAGAAAAACCTCAACGAGATCCTATATGTAAGAGTGAAACTACTACTGATTACCGAGGAGAGACCACAGAAGTGCAAGGAGTGGACCTGCCCAAAAAGAGACCACAACAGCTTGGTCCCTGTGTTGGAATTCCTATTTTGCCCAATACAGTTGCTCCTCCCCCAATGCAGCTATCCATGGATTTGTCTAGGCCTTCTCCGCTTTTTACATCATCACTGCTTCCCTCATTTCCACTGATACCTGAGGCTCTATTGAAACTTCAGCGTCAGCAGCAGCAGCTTTTACTTCCATTTTACCTGCAAGAACTTAAACTTAGTGCAGATGGAGGACCAACTCCTCTTTTGTCCTTTGGAGGTGCCCAGCAGCCTCCATCCATTAAGGATGAGGGTGACCAACCCAGTGTGACTCCCAGACCGGCGAATGAAAAGGATGAGAAAGTACCAGATGAGCATGAGGCAGCAACTGGAGAAGCAGATGTTTCACAGAATCCAGAGTCTTCAACAAAGGCTTCTTCAGACCCTACTGGATCTGCAGCACGGGCATTGCTAGAAAATTTTGGGTATGAGTTGGTCACACAGTATAATGAAGGAAGGCAGCCACTTACTAGCCCAGCTCAGATTCAACCACAGCCTCCTGCTCCACCACTTGATACATTGTCTATACCTGCTTCCACAGACAGCCTTCAGTGTGGTACCTGTGGTAAACATTTCTCGAACAGACTGATCCTTAAAACACACGAGGAGCACATGCACCAGCGTTTGCTACCTTTTGAGGCTTTGAGTCAATATGCTGCCAGTTATCGTCGAACCTACGATAGTCACAACCCTGCTGGAGGAAATTCTGAAACAGGAGGTCCTTCAGCTACACCACTAGACTTCTCTGTAACATCTCAACTCCCTCAGTGTTCCAAAGAGGTTGAAGAACAGGATGCTGTCCCTGAACACGCCATTACAGTTGAACAGCTTAGATTTCTACACAACCACCTGGATTTTCCTGGTCACCTGATGGAAGAGCAGATATTATGGGCAGCTGAAAAAACTGGATTATCCCCTGTAGCTATCAGCGAGTGGCATATGCAGACAGAGAAAACCATCCAAGAGTACCAAGAAGAAGAAACAGAGGATTCCTCCAGGATTGATCGAATGAGTCATCGACGATTCTCACGCACAAAGTTCTCTGACTTCCAGACTCAAGCACTAAACAGCTTTTTTGAGTCCAGTGCATATCCTAGAGATAATGAAGTAGAACAACTGTCGGCAATGCTAGGTCTTTCTGGACGGGTGGTGGTGGTCTGGTTTCAAAATGCTCGACAAAAAGCACGAAAGCAAGCTACAGATTCTGGAAATTCTTCCTCACCGCCTCTTCATCCTGTTCAACTAGGGGAACGACCAGCTGCCAACAGTAACGTTCCACCTTGCAAGAAATGTGGCATTAGCTTTCCTTGCATTTTTCAACTAATCCATCACCTGAAAATTTGCTATAATGACCAAGGCGAAGAAGCAACTGAAACTGAAGAGAAAGAAGAGGAGCTGTTTAAATGTGCACAAACTGAAGAGTCAGTATCAGATCACACTGTAAGCACTGATCTCCCATTATCAATAAGCCAAGAAGAGCAAGATAAACCAAGTGAAACTATGGGTGACCAAGAAGATATTTCACCAGTTATAAAAGAAAAAGCTGAGTCACCTAAGATGAATGAAGGAAATATACAAATGCCTGAGCAAGGAGATAATCTTGAGCCGAATGAATCTTCTGTAATTAACAGCAATGTGGACCAGAACCAAAACAAAACATTATCAAGTAACAGTCATCTTCAAGCTCCTTTGATGGACCTCTCTGTACTTATCCCAGTGGGGGCTGGTGAGGTGGCATATCAGAGAAAAAGAAAGCATGAAGAAGAAAGCCTCTCTCCAGGTGGAAGTGATGGTGGTGATGAGCCTCCAAGGGACAAGCGTCTGAGAACCACTATCTTACCAGAACAATTAGATATTTTACATAGATGGTACTTGCAAGATTCCAATCCAACAAGAAGTACACTAGAACGCATATCTCATGAAGTTGGCCTAAAAAAGAGAGTTGTTCAGGTTTGGTTTCAGAACACGAGGGCTCGTGAGAGGAAAGGGCAGTATCGAGGGGCACCACCTGGTACTATTTCAGCTCCTCGGCAGCAAGACGACTCTACCAATGAAGGGGCAAAAAGAGAAGGCTCTGGTTCAAGTTACTTTTATAATGTAACTCCAAGTCAACTTGTGCCACAGCTTGTAGCTAAATCAGGCCCATTAGCGATACAGACCAGTTCTTCAGTATCATCTAAATTTCAGACTTCTTCCAGTCTTACAAACACTCAAGTTGCCAAGTCCCTGGTGAATCCAACCCAGGCTCTGTCAGGCCTGCTGAGCGCTGCACAAATTATGCCTGGATTAGTTAATCCATCTCAAGCAATTACAAATCTTGCCAACTCTTCCCAAGTTTTATCTGGCCTTGTTAATCCACCACAGTCATTATCTGGTTTAGTGAACCCAAATCAGGCATTTCCAAGTCTTGTTAACCCTGCCCATTGTCTGCCCAGCCTAGTGGGTACCCCTCAGTCTTCACAAGGATTGCTGTTGGCTTCCTTTCAAACTAAACATGCAGCACCACCCATTCTAGTGTCTTCCCCTCCTGAGGTTAAAGTGCATTCTTCTCCCAGCCAGCAAGCACCCTCCCAGTTGCCATTACCACAGAGTGCTGAACCTGACAAAACACCAACGCCGTTAGTTAATGAAACACTGGATTTCTCTAAAGTCACATATTTGGAGCAAAATACTACTGAGAACCATCCTACTGAGAACCAAGGAAGTTGGAACCAAAAAATTTCAGAAGAGAAAATAGCCTCTAAAATGATGGATTCTCTGATGCACAGCCCGCAGGCTGGAGACATGAGTGACTCATCAAGTTCAGATCCTGGTCCTTCTAGTCCTGGCAAAGGACAATTAAACTCTGAAGGCCTTTTAGGTTCCTCAGGAGCTAGACGCTATCGCACTCAAATGAGTAGTCTGCAGTTAAGGATACTTAAGGCATGTTATTCAGAATATCGCACCCCAAGCATGCAGGAGTGTGACTGCCTTGGCAGTGAGATTGGGTTGCAAAAGAGGGTTGTTCAGGTTTGGTTTCAGAATGCCAGAGCCAAAGAAAAAAAGGCCAAACTCCAAGGACTGGTTTGCACAACTCCATCCAATGAAGGACCTCAGCCTACTGAGTGTACTCATTGTAATGTTAAATATGGGCCTACCATCCCATGCCGTGCCCACATATTCTCCAGACAGCATATTGCAAGGCTGCGAGCATCAATACAACAGCAGCTGAAGGAGGAAAGCCGTTACCGTGATACACATCCAAGTGCAGGGGCACCGCCTGTTTCAGAGAGCAAATCAACCTCGCAGATGCTCAACTTCCAGACTTCTGCCACAGTGACACCACAAATCCAGAGGATCACACCCTTGCTGATGCCTGGACAGGGCATTCCTGCACCTATAGGTGGATTGGCCACATTTAACACAGGTAAAACCAGCTTGTCATTAGGCAGCATGGAAGTCACAGTATACTAACTTTCCTTAAATAGTGCTAGGGGCCAAGTGCTGGGATTATTATTAAAATGATCACAATAATACTAAAACTAAGAGGTTGTTCACATTTAAATATGAAACAAAATGTTGCAATTAAACAAACACATGCAGTTATGCACTTTGCACTTATATAAACAGTCAGTAATAGGCAGCTAGGGATAGCTAACATGTGGTTAAAATAAAAATGTTTCCTGAGTGTAAATGTCTGCTGGGCAGTAACAAGCAACATAAGATGGCACAATGTTCTTGATAAGCTCAGTTACAATCTTTAGTGGTTGTGTGCCTTCTCAGTGTGTATGTATTTAAAAAAAAGGTCTGTGTTTTCACAGCCTTCAGTCAGAATCAAATGTGCACTTTAAATAGCATTTGGGAAATGAATGTTTGAATAGGATTTGTTAAATTGGGGAAATGCAGAATGTTCGATCATGTTAAGAAATAAGACCATCTATTAAAATAACCCTGTTATCAGAGATTTCGGGGTCACCACCTAAACTCCTTCTGTAAATGCTAATTGAATGGCTGTTATGCTGACCCACTGGCTTCAGTACTTTTAAGTAGATTGGAAAAGTCAGAGAAGGGTCAGAAATCCCTATTTTCTGCATATTTCCTCTGGGTGAGAAACTTAAAGAAACGGGGCAAGAGGGTCTGTATGGCAGCATTTTCAAAAGACCGCTTTAACAATGGTATATATTTGTGTCATGACCGGTTGGTTTCCTTTAAGGAAACCCAACATTTCTGACAATTTATTTTTAGTTTCCAAGCTATGTGGTTCCACCTACTGTTACATTAGTGACATTACTGCTTACAAGTTAAAATCTGTAAGGTTATATTTACATGTTCTGGTAGGTGTAAGCTTATTATTACAACAAGTTATGTTTGGAATGCTTAGGTCGGATGTAACTGCCAGACAACCCCATATTGGGCGTCATTGAAAGCAACAAAACCTTGTTTCAGCTTTAAACACAGAATAATACTGACTATAACAGGCTATGTCTATCACTATTAGCGGATTAATATATGCTAAAAAAAGCTGGCTAAAAAATCTGCTGACAAGGACTGGAAGAGCTTGCACTGAAAGAGTAAAAACACATATGCATAAGTGACTACTTCTGAAAGATGCTGCCATACAGCAGAATACAATGACAAATGGTAGATTCCCCTTCCTATAAAGAAAGTATCACTGAGAAGATAAAAAGAAAATGCCGCAAATACCGCTACGTTTACTTTAAGTCATATCAGTGACAGCATACTTTAAACATTTTCTATCAACAGTAAATGCATGGACAGGATTTGGGTTGTATTAGCTAGATTAGGTCTAAGCAGCCTCATCTTCTGATAATGATCTTTCCTTCTCAAACAATATCAGTTTAAATATCTAACTGGCATGTTGCAGAAACTGATTGTAGCCAGGCTTTAACTCATCCCTGTGGTCATCGTGTGACCACTTCTATTTTACCTCTGCACAGTGCAAAAGTGCTCTCAGGCCCTGGAGTTTGGGATCTGTGAGATTAGCAATGTATGGCTAGATCTTTAAATGAGCAATCACGTAATATGAACATTAATCTAAACCATAACTGAATTACGTTTACAGGGTTATTCACAAAAGGGTGAAGAGTTTGGAGAAGTGAACAATCTAGGACAACATCGCGGATTTTGGAAAATTCTCCAATTCAAATCGATTTCCAGTTCAGCTATGTTGTCCTAGATCAGGGGTGCCCACAATTTTTTGTGTTGAGATCTACTTTTCAAATGACGAGCTACATGAGATCTACCGGCGGAAAAAAAAAACCTCCCTTGCTCTCTCTTCGCTCTCTTGGCTGTCTCTCCTTGCTCTCTCCCCTGGCTGTCTCTCCCCTCTCTCTTTCCTGGCTGTCTCTCCCCGCTCTCTCTCCTGGCTCACCTTGCTGTATTTCGCAAACAGTGCAGTGCAACAGGCTGTGTAAACTAATATTCTTTTGATGTTCCACATAGCACTTCAACCACCAGTATCCACCAGAAAGGTGTCAGGGAGCTTGGCTCAGCAGACACAGGCTAATAGGTCATCATGTGTGCACAGCTAAATAAATATACCAAAATGGAATAAAGAGGCCGCCATTCACACCCTTTCTGATCTACCAGCATCAGCTTTGAGAGCTACTGGTAGATCACGATCTACCTAATGGGCACCCCTGTCCTAGATTGTTCACTTCTCTTACCTTCTCCAAACTCTTCAACCTTTTGTGAATAACCCTGTTAGTTTCCTAAAGTACTGTGTTTCATAAACAGTTGCTATATCATTTGACAATATTTATTGCTCATATACAATATTAAAACATCATGGTAGTCCCATTAATATATTAACACACATCTGGAGTATTCCTTACAATTAAAGGCCAAAGAACAGCGTTTAATACATTAAAAAGAAAAAAAATAAGAGACTAAATTGTAGGAAAAAAGATCAATGGGAGCAAATAGAAAAAGGCCAGAGCTGGAACAAGGCCTCCCAGTGCCTAGAACAAAGATGTCAAACTGCACCCCTGTCCCTGTCCCCCTTGCCAGATGTGCGTGCCCTGTCTTTTTCTGCAGCTAGGATCCCACTCCCAGCTGCTACTGTGTTTGCCTCAGCATCACTGCGCAGCTCTGGGTCTGCCGGTCGGGTTGTTGTGGACCCAGATGTGTTCAGTGACGTTGTGGGACCTTCGTGCTGTGTGGTCTCTACCTCTTCTGGTATTTATGCACTAATTGTGAATAGCGCAGAGGCAAAATGAAAGGTAGGGCATCAGGGGCATTGCTAGGATTGTAAAGACCAGGGGTATCCCTGGGCACTGCAACTAGAAAAAAGATGCACAGCGATGAACTGAAGGTGCATACACAGAGGCCACACTGCACTAAGGGTGGTACGGTCTTAAAGGATTAAAATTAGTATATCTTTCTTTAAGCAAAAAAATGTGCTGGATGGATGGGATGGATGAATAATTGCCTGACAATGGGCTTCAAATAGAATCCACCTGTAAGCCTACATGCTGTATATACAGCACATATGCCATACTACCTACATAATATTCTTTAAAGAGACACCTGCTTTATCATTATCAGTGTGTAATGAGTTTCCCAAGAGCTGTATGCAAGCAGAGAGACTCGGGAGCTGAAACTGCCTGCAAAGCCACTCACTGACAATGCAGAGACTGAAAGCAGAAGCCGATTGTATGTGGTTTGACAACTGTGGATGAGGTGGACAATATTAGGATCCAACACTCCCAGAAGTGCCACATTCCTATTCATTTTGCAGTTAAAAGGAGAACTCGGGGCATATAAAATCTTAACCCTTACATTGCTGGGATTAGCACCACTGCAAGGGTTAAGATGTCATATGCCCAGAGTGTTTTAAACAATTAGCACACATGTAATGATTATGCTTGCTAGAGTTTCAGAGACACATATAAACCTCAGCACTCTTTCATTACATATTCGTTTCTGCACACAGAATATAGACAGAGATGTAACACTAAGGTGTATGTACCATGTATCATAGAGTACAGAGTATGGTGGTCAGGAGACTGTAATGTACAGAGTATGTTACATAGTCCTGACTTCTACACTTTGTATGCTTTGCATACACACTTTTGAATGCTGTACTCCTAGCATACAGAATGCAGAGGTCAGGAGTGAGTAACACACACCACAGAATGATGGCATTCAGGAAAATATCACCCCGATAAACCTTCCCCCCCAAAAAAATAACCCTCCTTACCACAAGCAAAATCCCCCCTAAATGAAAATGCCCCCCCAGCAACATGCACCCTCTTCCACTACTGCTAACCTCTGCACCATCTGCCCTCTTCTTCCACTACTGCTCATCTCGGCCCAATGCTATACTTGCATTATGGAACCTCACACATACATACATACAATGCACCCCCTCCCCCTCACATGTGTGTACAATGCATCCCCCTCACATGTACGTACAATGTACCCCCAAACACATACATACAATGCATCCCTCTACCTCTCACACATACATAGAATGCAGTCTCCCCACACACATACATACAATGCAGCCCCCATACAATGCAGCCCCCCCACATACATACAATGCAGCCCCTCACCACCCCACACACAGAGACACACAATAAGTTGTTGTCTGTGCCCACCCCGCTTTAAAGTAGACCTGTAGCTAGACTGCCCAGGTTATGGCCTGTGTCGACGGGCTTTGAGTTTGTATCATGGGGCAAATGTAGTTAACTCCAGGTGCATTCCACTTAAAAAAAGTACTGCGTGCAGTACTTTTCATCGGTGAAGCAGGATGCACTGAACCATGCTGTGCCCATAGCTTAATCAACTTAATTTAATGTCACTTGTGACATTTTAATAAAGTTCTAAAAATGGTGTGAATGGGCCTTGAAACATTTGACGTCTTTCTAAGCTGCATCACTTCACCATATACATTACAATGTGATTATATCATTTTTGTAAAAGTTCCCTTGAGATTTACTAAAACAATGTAATATAAGGACCTACCTAAACTATCAATTTATATCCACTCAAATAGGCCCTTGCACTACATAGATGTTGGAAGATCTAAAGGAGATTGTATAGACTATAACGTGTGCGGCCTGCATTCACACCTGAGTGGAGCATATTTCTGGCGATCTGCTTGGCTTTTTACGTGTGTACACATGTTTTAAAGCATTTTGCAAGCGTTGTGCAAGTGTTTTTGCATGTGTATGGGACGAGGAGAGCAGTCCTCTAGGCATGAAAACACCTGATTATGCGAAAATTTAAAAAAAGCTAATGTATTTAGAGTGTAGGACGTTGAGCTACAAGCAACTGGAATTTAAAAGAGAAGTATGGGGTAAGTGTTTTTATCTCATAGTTCTCTTTAGGGTCACGGGAGGACAAATACTAACCTCCTCCCATGACCTAAAGCTCAGTATGTTTCTGCTCACTTCCCGATCA